ACTGATAACCCATTTTTGGCAGTCCATTTGAATATATGTGTTAAGCAAAAGTAAATCTTACGCTCATTTGTTTATTGTTTTTCTTTGACATATTCAAGTTGATACAATAATTTTTGTTTTCTGTCATTTAAGTTCCTCAAGTATAATTTGAAAAAGTATTATTAGATGTAGCTTTTTTGAGCTATTATTTCTCTGATTTTATGTCTAAGTTTTTTCATGAATTTTCAACTCAGTATCGTTCAATTTAAGGTAGTCAAGTAAGTTTAGGATATGTCATTAAAAGCACCATATAATGTAAAACAACTGAAAGACTCGCAAGTTTCAAAAGTTTCATAGATTCTACGATTAGATTATTTTACTATGTTACATCGACGTGAAAAAAATGTTTAATAAAAAAAGCCTGTTTACTAATTAGTTTTACAAGTAATTTACCCTTGTTTGGACAAGTTGCAAGTTATAGCCACAAGATAATATGAAAACTTGCCATTAGCAACAAAAATTTTAGAAAATGTTGCTTTAAGTTTTTTTTGTTTTGAAGAAGAATATTTGATCATTGTCTGCTTTTGTTTTTACATTATTCTGAAAAAATAGTTTTTTTTTGTTGCTTTTTTAAAGGTTTTTTAACAGCTATCAGTTGACGATGATTGTTATGGCGTGCAGACTCCTCCTTTGTTCTTTAACAGTGTAAACGTCATTCAAATAATTATAATTTAAGAAATACTCAATAGAAAAAATTCACTTTTCTTTATTTTTGGTAAGATTATCGCCATTTGAGACGCACAAATGTTGTTCCTACTTTTTCTCTCGCTTTCCTCAGGTACCCTCATTAAATATTTTCAAGCATTAGTTGACTAGCAAATGCATTGTCTTATTGTCAAACAAGTAAAACTTTTACGAAAGTTAAAACAAGAATATTCTAGAAAGCTTTTTGTAGGAATTGAACAATTTGTCATTCATTTTATCCTGAGCGTTAAGATCTACTTTATTTGTTATGAGGCAGCGTTATCGCTGTCAAGCAGTTACATTTAACATTACTCGATTACAGTAAGTGCCAACTATGATACCGTTTACGGAGTAAGACATTGGAATCGAGTTGTACCTGTAAATAAAGTTGATGATGTTTCAAGGCAGACACACTACAGTACGATACCGGAAAAAGAAATATTTGCGTATAAGTTACAAAAGAATATTCCATGGTTTAGTTGTTCTAAAAGTGACTTTAAAAAAATTTTTTTTGCAGTTATCTAAACAGATATTAATATTCAAAGTCTCGCAAAAGTTTTTTTTGACACCTTTTATTAAAATATCTTTTGTCTTTACATCATTGCAACGCAGCTACGTATCAGTTAAGAAAACAGTCATAATTGCAGTCAAAGAAAAGTTGTTGCTACACCTTTGGTAAGAACGCCAAATATATCGCCGGAATTACTGGAATTATGCTATAGACTGAATTGTGCAGGCTGTGAACAAAGATGTCTTTCGCGACGGTTCCCGGTTTTCGAATCTCAACAACAAGATTGTAGAGAATTTTACCAAAATCTAAACTGTGGTTTAGGAAATGTTAAGTGTCTGCTGGAACTCGTGGTACCTCTCTTGGCTCAGAACAGAGACCCGAGCATTACCTCATTACTATCGACATTGGGCAATAATCAGTGTGCTAGAAACTTTATGTCGTCACTGTTTACAACAATTGCTAGCACTTTAAGTCCAAAACCTGATACTACTGTTGTGGTACCACAATCAACAGATGCTGTAGTGGTAGCAGGAAGAACGGCTGAAAGAAACCCACTTCAGCTCGGCGTTATTCCTCCCACAACGTCAACATCAACAACACTAAACCAGTTAGACTCCGCAAAGTTGCTGGAGATGTTGAGAACGTTGCAAAATAACCGTGCAGCTGCTGAAGCATATTCGCCTATTACTTTACCACAGCTGGCAAAGCTGCTGCAAGCTCTTACAGCTCTACAAAATACAGCTGCTATTCCTAGAACGTCAACATCACTGGAAGCACCACAGCTCGCCGAACTATTAAACCTGTTGAGATTTCTGTCCACGACTTCAACTCAGACTGTTGCGAGTCGGCAGCTACAAGCAGTACCAGCGCAATACAATGCTAATCTACTAAACAATTATCAATACTGGCTGACATACTATTGTCAACTTTATCCACAACTTTGCAACTCATATGGCACAACAGCACTTGGTGTCAATGTTGGATTGGCTCGTTGTAAGTAATATTTCGTTTAAATAAAATTTTTTCTAATTTCAAAAAATATAATGTAAATATACAATTTTTTGTACTTCAATGGGAATTGCAGAACAGATTAAAAATAATATATTGCTGCATAAAATAAATTAGGCAATAACTTCACGTTTTGAAAAAAAGAAGAAAAGTGTTTGATTTAAGTTTTAGAACTTTTCAATCTACATATTTTTTTGGCTTGATAAAAGCGCTTAGTTATCTACTGTTTGACGTTACGGTACGCAAACTTTAATAAAGTCACTGACGAGT